AGAGATTCTCAATATTACCAAAAGTTGAATCTTCATTCAACGTAGCTAAATAAGGAAGTAGCAGTCGATAAAATTTTTTTACAATTTTACGAGATACAAAAGAAGTAATTATTTTACATTTCTTTACAATATAGCTACTCGCGCACAATTTCAAAAAATTTTAAATACCAACATGAACGATACATGTTCGAAAGTTTCAAAGACTATTAATGTGTACCATGAAATTCCAATTTTGTCATCTGCAATCACTGCATACAAACATTATATATTATTTGCACTCAATTATTCAATAAAAGTGCAATCTGCAATTCAAATAATTAATCACCTTATTGTAGAGTTGAAAATAAATCACAGTGCTGGCTTGTTATTAACAATGTTGCATGATATTAAATTTTGAATAGGAGTAGTAATCATTAAGTTTAGGCGTCAATCTTATTTCTCTGACACTTTGTGATTAATTGTAATTTGGAAAATCTTAATTTTCATTTTTCAAAGGATTCTTTATTTTTTCTTTCTTTTCGAAAATTTTGGGATTCACGGTGAGGGTGGTCACGTGTTTGTTACATGGTTATGCATGTTGTACTTACGGACGGAACTATCTTCTGGACTGTTATTTTAGACTCAACTTTTGCGTTGGAGTCGACTTTCTTTGTGTCGTTCCCGATCATGTGGTCGGGAAGGTAAAGCGTTTTGTAATTATTGATCAGATCAGATCCATAAAGTAATTTTGGCAATTATTTTATGGGCCCAACGGTACTGCGTCTCGGGTACGCGCCAAGGACAAAAGAACACATCCTCTACAGAAAATATAAATTTTGAGAAAATAAATTATATAAATGGATCAAGTTTTATAATATGAAACATGAGATTTATAGCCAAATATTGTCAGAAAGACGTTTTTGTTAACCGGTGCTATTTGTTCGTGGGTTAAAACAATATTTCTCTAGATCTCAAGTAACATATTTAAAACTAGGTTGTTCAAGTGTAACATGTTTCAAATGTTAATAGTTTCAAATATCACTTCGATTTCAAATCGAACTACTTTCTTTTCCAATTCTAATTTCTTTCTATCTTCAGCAGTTAAATAAAAACTTTTGTGAAAATTTCGTAGATTTTTTTGAAATATCAAAGAATGGAAATCAAGTCCTTCCAAGATTTTAAAATAGTTATCAATCAGATGAGTAAAATTTAAACTCGTATCTCAGAAGGAGAACTTCCCTCTAACTTAAATATTAGTTATCGGAATGTATTGCGTTAGAAATCCAACCCTATACGCGGACTTTAATCATTTTTATGAAAAACATTGTAGAGTAAATTTAGTTTGTATTTTAAGATGGCCGTACGTGAGAGTAATACTCGAATAATATCGGTGAGTGATAGTTACACGATAGTAAGAGCGAATTGTTATTTGCATGTATAAGTAGGCAAAAGGGAGAGAAGAGGGTAAGTAACGGCATAACAGAAAAAGATGCAACGACAACAGAGTTGTCGTCATTATTATTATATGAATCAATATCACGACGGTGTCTTTGATGTGATGGTGGTTGAAGTGTATAACAATGTTTCGAATGTGGATCTTTATAGGTATTCTCATGGCGGACGCTTGCACTGGAAGTACGACATGCAGCCAGACAAACTTGAAAGCGATCTAAATTGCGCAGGCGTTTCTTTACTGCATCTTGGTCCCTGTGTGCTTTGTGATTGTCTCGAAGCAGACCTAATAGCACATCTTTTCTTCCTTTTATTTGCTGTTAATAACAATGTCTCATTAATATCTTTGTTAGGCTCCATAACTCATAAAAGAAGAAAAGAAAGAAGTGATATCAACCTTGCCAGGATGTAGGCAGCAAGAAACACAATATTCATAGATAGCGCAGCATCCTTGAGCGTTACATGTTTTACAGCTATACCTCTCTTTTTTAGCTATATTTGGTGTATCTTCATTTTTATTAGAATCTTTCTGTTCCATGTTGCAGCAGCCATTCGACAAAATTTCTTGTCTAGAGCATACAATACCACGCTCATCTACTATTAGAACTTTGCCCTATTAGAATAATAAATTGTAGAATATTATGTAGAATAATAAATCACTTAATTTAACGTTATTCTCATCTTCAAAATGTAATATACCTGGATGGAATTACGACAAGAATGAACCACAATATCAGTGTCATTCAAATTCGGCATCGCCTCTACGTTCAATAAATTCTCGTTTGCCCCTTGATCAACAATTGCCATCTGCCACAGTGGTGGTTTACCGGATGCTCTCAATTGTTCTGACAATGCATCATCATCAGAGATCAAGTCGTCGTTATTGTCATTAATTATCATAGGATCCATGTCATCGAGATCATTATCCAAAGCTAACGTCTTTCGCTAGGAATCAGATAATATTCTGTTCTAAATTTTAAATTAAAATTCATACAGTTGGTCATGCAAATTTTTGGTGTGTATACTTATATATTTTGTACACAATTTCTCGATGTTATTTACCTCGTTGCGAAAAAGTGAAAAAGCGCAGTAGGTAAGTGACAAAGCGAAGATGAGGCCAAGTACGAGGCGCCGTCTAATGATTCTGAACAGGCTGCCGCAACTCGGCATTCTTTCCACTTTTGTAATTTATTCTCGTGCCTTTGTTCAACATTAAATCTCCAGTTTCCTGTGCCAGCGCATGATCGCAACTGACGGCAATAAAGTTATTTCATTAAATTATTTGTATTGACATGTTGCGTACGAAAGATGAGGAACGTCGGTAGCACAAAAAATATCAAAGCATAGACTAATGTGCAAGTTTTTTTTATGTTCTAATAAAACATAAAATAATGTAAGAAGTGTATATATGTGAAAAAAGAAAAAAATGAAAGAGAGAGGTACAGAAAAAGAAACGAGACATATTGAGAGATAGAGGTTATGTTGTTTTTGTTACGATCACATAGCAAACGTTTCGTGAAACGCTTACCAATCTTCGAACGCGGATAATTTAATTGTTGTAACATAAACCTTTTTATCGCTCAATTGTACGATCAACAGGATAGACTGATATATCTCGTTCTAGAATTTATCGAGTTCTTGTCACCAAATGTCCAAGCAGCGCATTAGTCTGCTCAATATGATTGAATGGCAACAAAGTTCATAGTGATTGTATTAGATGTCACTACTTATTCAGTTAACAATCTAATATCGATGTATGGTACTATCGATTTATTAAATTTCAAATGATTTCAATCACGTGAAATTTATTTTTTCATAAAATAATCCCACATTACTAAAACTTTTTGTGTAAGAAAAATTATCATGCACCATACATGCTTTATATACTTAGTACTCGTTATACCTTTCTTCCATCGAATAGTTCAATTGAAGTTAAATTTCATAAAATATTTTTATTTATTTTGGCAGTTGCAATTGAAAACATTTGCAGTGTTTAAAACAATTGAACATTTTCAATAGATCGACACAATCTTTATTAGTGACAAAAGTA